AAAAAAAGAGAAGAGATGTGGCTTCTACAGGTGTTGGAATGTCCTGTTATGTGTCGTGGCTCTCTATTATGTGGGCGGGCCTTAGGTCCGTGTGGGGTTATTTAGGGTAAATTTGTTGTGGTCGTGTGCAATAATGTCTTGCCTTTTCCTTGCAGATTGGATTCCGTAAATAGGGTACCGATAGGAGTTGTACCTATTAGAACTTGTTTGATGGTTACTCACATATATGGTTCCTCTTTTCATGTTTAGTTATATTTAGTTGTGCTGTAAGGTTTTATTGTGATTGTATGTTTCCAGGTGGCGTTTGTGTGGCTTGTTTGTGGGTCGGGTGAGTAGTTAAGAGTTCGCATGTTTTGTACATCATTATCAGTGTTGGGAATGGTTTGGAAACAAGAAATTCTAGTCGATAATAGGCTATTTAGATGGTACGAGTGTTGGTAATGGGCAGCTTATTATGGTTAGAATTATAGCTACAGGTATAAGGCAATGTTTAGCGTCGTATGGTTATACCTGTGGATTGTATGCACGGGCTGTTTCTTCTAAGATGAGGATTATACAGTGTTTAGCGAGAATAAGGCCCTTAGTGGATGTGGAAATTGGGTGTTCTAAAGGCTTATCGGTCACGATGGAAAGGAAATAATCTTCGGTTGAGATATGTTGTCGAGCTTATTATGTTTTGGGGTGACATGGGATCACTCATGTGCATGTGTATCGTGAGTTTATACAGTGATTTGAGTGACCCTTGGCACGTTCGAGGACAAACATCTTTTTAAGAGGGAGAGTGTAACGACACCCGTCCATTTTTTCATTGATAAATTTAAACCCCAAATTTTTTCCCTTCTTTAGTGGTTCGAGTCTTGAAGTCATTTTCATATTTGTAAATTATGACTTACGTGTGTGATCAATTTCGTTTTTCAAGAGTTCCGGGGTTGATTCGGAAGAATGTTTTTCATATGTATGAAGCTTAAAGTTTAAAATCTTAAATTGAGGTTTGATTTTGTGAAATAATCCCCCAGAATGGTATTTTATGGCTTCCTAAGGTTCGTATGGTGATATTAGATTTGGCCGGAATTCCCAAAATTAAATTCGAGGTCCCTAAGGTTTGATTTGGCATGTTTTGGTCGAAAAGTTGGCAATTTGAAGGTTTAGAAATTCCTTAAGGTTTGACTATGGTAAACTTCTATGGCTATCGAAGTTTAGATTTTGGTTTTGGGACTTGAATGGAACCCGTTTTGTTATTGTAACGTATCTTGCAAAATTTGGCGCCAATTCCGAGTTAATTTGATAAGGAATCAGACGAGTTGGTTGATTTTTTTTAGAAGTTCCTTGAGTTCGTTGTAATATTTCATGCATTTTGATTGTCTGATTCGTGGTTCTAGAAATGTTATTTTGGTGCTTTGATTGTGCGAGCGAGTTTCGTAAGATATTTTTGAACTTGTTGAATGATTAGTGTGGAGGCCACGGGAGCTCGAGTGAAGTTCGGAACAGAAGCGTTTCAGAGTGTTTCGGTTGTTTCAGTTTTTCTGGTGTGTGCTGGTGCCCTCACGTCCTCGCCAATGCAAGAACACGTTTGCGTTTTGCGAATTCCTCAACAATTGTGAGGTAAGGGGTCACATTTGCAAGTTCACGTGTGGTCTTCAGTTTCGCATTTGCGAAAGCACATTGTTCGCTTTGTGATGGGGCCTGGGCGAAGCTGGATCGCATTGTGATCACATGGTCGGCTTTTGCGAAGGACCCCTGATTTCGCAAAAATGCAGTATGGGTCGCAATTGCGACATTCCTGGGTTCATCAGGAGCCGCATTCTGCGATGGTTAGTCCGTATTTGCGAGGGTTTGCCAATTTGCAAACCCCTGTGTCGCAATATGCGACATCGCACTTGAAGCAAAAGGGCAGGAAGACAAAGATTAAGCTCATTTTTGTAATCTTGAACCCTAAACTCGGTATGGGGGGGGGGGGGGGGGGGGAGGGGGGGTGGGGGGAGGCAATTTGGAGATGGAATTTCCACATAAAATCAAGTGGGGTAATTAATATTTGATGCAATTATAAATATATTACATGATTAATATATGAGATAACATCTAAATTCATGAGATTTGAAGGGGAAATTTGGGGAGGGGGGTGTCTATGTTTTTGAAAAATAAAAATTTGAATTTGAGAAGTCCGAGTTGGACTCTGGATATACAAAACAAAACACATATATAGACGTAGATTAGGGTAGTCCAAAGATCTCACCTTTGGACCCTGGTTTTGAACACGGGCCGGGTCGGGATGACTTTGTTGACTTGGGGGAATTGTATAAAGATCATACGCTTTTACTTATTGGAATTGGTTTCTTTTGCATACTTGATTTTATTAAGTCGACTTTGGTTCGATTTGTGCGAGCAATAAGGTGAATTGTAAAGAAAACTTATTTTTGAGTGTTATTTGGCCTAGTTGAGGTAAAGTTCATGCCTAACTTGTGTGGGGGAACTACCCCGTAGAGATTAGTTTAAATACTATGTGGAAGACGTGTACACGAGGTGACGAGTGTGTCACGGCCTTATATGTAGAAATTGACCGATTTAAAGACTCTTAAGGCCTTCTTTCAATGCATTTAATTAAAGTTGCCCATATCATGATATATTTCTATAAGTTTATCTATATCTATATTGAAAGTTGTCATTACATGTCTAAATCCTTATTGCTTCAAAGCTTACTCTAATATTCTTTAATCGAATTGTTAACCATCTTTTATTGTCACGGCTACCTATTCTATTATTGAGTTGTTCCTTATTTGAAGTCAATTATACATGTTACCTACTCTTTTATTGTTGTCACGACCCAGATTTTCCACCCTCAGGAGTCGTGATGCGCCTACTGATAAAGCGAACCTTTTTGCTGATGTGGTGTAGAAGCTATCCGAAACGGGAACTTTGGGACCCATGGATATCTGAAGCACCATGTGAGACCTAAAGTGCAGACTGAACTGGCCTACCCACAAAACCTCTACCATTACACGCCTTGCCTCCAAAATAGGGATCAGTAGATCCTCCCAGTCGACGAGGCCTCTTAGCCTCCCTCTCCTCCCTCTTTTGGACCCGCATACCTTCCATCATCCTAGCGATCTCTACAACCTGTTAAAACAGAGTATTCGTCTCCAACTCTTGAGCCATGCTGAATCTAAGAACATGAATGAGCACCTTGATAAATCTGCGGACTCTCTCTATGCCGGTTGAAACAAGGGCAAGTATATGTCGGGATAAATCGCTTGTCGCTCCCCCTTTTTCTCGCAAAATCGGGTTTATGACATTTGGTTGGGACAACTCTTTCCTTTTGGGAAAGGGGTTTTGCAATATTGAAGAGTCGCCACCTAACGATTTTTAAGGTGCGTTAGGGCACCTGTAGGATTCAACTACAACTATGTTTGATAACCATAGATAGGGTAAGGGCTTGAAATTATCCCAAGGGGAAGGTGTTAGGCACCCCTCAGGATCCACTAGTGTGGTTCCCGGCCAGATAGTTTTTGTGAATTTGTACAATTAGCAAGTAATAAAATAAGGCTCAAATAATAGAGGATTTTTAAATCTTAATACACAAGTGTTTGTTTAAAAAAACAATAAAAGTGAGGTTTTCAAAAAGAGTTATAATCTAATCATACTGATGAATGTAAAGAGGTCCTAGGTTTGTTTGTAATATGGATCACGTCAATGCAATACCCGGTAATCACTCCTCAAAAGAGGGGCTACACGTGGTATTAGCACACCGATCATCATATCCATATCTACCCTTCCCACCCCGTGAAGGTATTAAAGCGTGGATTGGTCTCGACCTCTATTGCGTGCTATTACCCGTCCCATTCCTATCAGTCCCGGAGGAATTTTAGGACTACTATTCCTATAAGAGGGAGGATTTTAGGCTGACTCTTAGGTTTAAAGGTAAAAAG